AAAGACTAATACTTAAAATTATAATTCAGAACAAATTTCTGGAAATAAAAGAAGATCTGAGTTTACATATTACATGGGTCCACTGAATACCAGACAAAAGTTCTCCCGAAGAATAAAATCTGAAATATTTTACTAAAACTATTAGCTTTGAAGTATAAAGAAGAAAAATCCTTCAAGGCTTTTAGACATAAAGATGAAATAAACTATGATGGAAAATGACTTAGACTGATGTCAGAGTTCTTAAAGGTAATATCTAAAGCAATCAATAGTACAGCAGTATTTTCAAGAAACTTAAAGGAAGTATGAATCAAAGATTTAATATTGTAGATAACCTGTCCTTCATGTATCAAGGCTTTAAAAAAACAATTATGAGTATGAAAATTTTAGGGAATTCTATACCTGTGTGACATCCTGAGGAATCTAGCAGAAAAGCAGATTTATGTAACCAAAAGATGACTGAGGAAATTGGTAAAATTTTATAAATATGAGGAAAAAACAGAATATAAGTATCATTATATATTCTGACAAAGAAGTAATGATGCAGCTTTAAAATGAGAGAAAAAGGAGAAAAAAGTGGAAACGAGAATAAGATTATTGACTCCTGTGTAGATAACAGGTAAGAGTCAAAGAATACTACTGAAAAATGACTGGCTAGATGTAAACGTTAAGCAAGAAAAAAGTGAGAATAGGTTGTTATAGAAGATGTAAATACAAAGATAACCACTAAAATAAAAATTCAACCTAACCTAAATACCAAAAGAAATTTAAAAACATCTATAGCAAAGTGAAAAACCCAAAGAAGCTAAAAAAAAGTAACTTTACATAAAACACAGTAATTACAAGAAAAATAATATGATTGAGGATTCGGCTGAGGTCTAACACATAAATCATATCAATATAAGTGAATAGACTTAATTTTCCTTTAAAAGAAAAAGAGTTTTTTAAAACAAAAATAAAATCCAATGCTATACTTTATATGAAGAGTCACTGAAGCACAATGTTTCAAAGGTTAAACCTAAAGAGCAGATAAATGAAAATAATAAGAAAGCAGAAGTTGCAATCCTTCTGATACCAGAAAAAGTAGAATCAAGCCCCAAAGGCATCAAACAAGATAGAGAAGAACACTTTGTACTGCTAAAAGCTGCAATTCGTAATAAGGGCACAACAGTTAT